CTCTGTATCTTCAGTACCCAGCCCAGAACATCACACTTAAAAAATTCTGGGCAAATACTGATACCAAATGAATGAATACGTGAATGGGTGGATGGATGGATAGATACATGGATGAATGGATGGATTAGCAAATCTCTCCATATTCAGACACCTCTTACTCGTGTGACATAATTAACTCCTGCCAAACCAACCTCCAGGTGAGTTAAGGGGGAAATGGTGAATGCATGCTATGACATCAATTATGTCAAACATGCTTGCTAGCACGTGGGAGGCAACATGCCATGGTGTTAAAAACATGGTCTCTGACATCAAATGATCTGTGTGCAAATCCCAGGAAGGTTGCTTCTGGGCTTTGTCACCTGGACAAGTCGCTCCGCCTCTCTGAGCCTCACAGATGACTCTTATACAAGCTGCCTCCTAGGGTTGCCATAAGGAACACATGATAGGTAAAGGCCCAGCATGGTGTGTGCTCTTGGTAAACACCTCACAAACCTTACATATCATTATGACTACTGCTGATCTTGGGAATGGGCAGAAAGCAAGGCAGGGATGGGACTGAGTAGTACAGGTCTTCATTATGCAGCTCTGAGTGAGTGCTAGGATCAAACAGGAGAAGGGAATAAAGACGACTCAATAGAATCTGGGATGGTGAGCTATGACCACAGTCGTGGTGCATAACAAACAACCACAAAACCTCGGTGGGATATAATGAGAAGCATTTATCTAGCTAACCTTTTTTGGGGACACTGAGCTCAGCTCTTCTCTGAGGTCTCGGCTTAACATGTGTTCTAGGGCCAGGCTGAGGGGACAGTGGCAACCTCAGGGACACTTTTCCCTAGCCACAACAGGAACACACACAAGGTTCCCTAAGGCCTAAGCTTGCAATGGGCATGAGATTCTCTACCTGACTCATGGCCAAAGCTGATCATGTGGCTGAACCCTGAATGAGGGACGAAGGGCATAAACCAGCTTCTCCCCTCCCCACTAGATCCTCCCTTCCCAACCAGCTTCTCCCCTCCAGGGCCTGCCCTGTCAGCTCTCAGGCAGAATCCGGAAGGTCCCTGTGCAGTAGCACTTGCAGTTCATGGGGATCACAGACCCACCCACGTCCTACCTCAATTCCCATCTTCCCAACATCTGGACCTGCTCCAGGGAGCCATTAATCTTGGGCAATTTCTTCCCTCACTTGATTTGTTTATTTAAGGAAAACAAGTTGCTCCTAATTAGAAACACTGCTGCCGAGATGTTCAGCACATCCTAGGCTGACTATTTTCAGACCTTCTGCCTAAAATTATACCTGCGCTTTTAACATCTGCGAGTTTGTTCAGCAACTGTCCTAAGTGGAGGCTTCTGGTGAGAGAGGTGGAGGCTGATGCGCGGGGTAAAGGAAGTGGGGGCAGTCAAGGGGCCCTGGAGCACTGTGAGCAAAGGCATTTGGAAAAATGAACACGAGACGTCCCACCCTGCTCAGAGCCAGCGCCTCCTGCTGAATCGACATTTAGAAGGTGCACAGCAGGAGCACAGTGCAGCCCTGAGGGCAGGGAAAAGAGCAGTCTTAAAGGTTCGGAGATGGTTTCCCTTTGGAAGCTCTCCCATGAGTTCAGACTCACGCACACACATTTACAACCCTAAAGACGCTCGGAGGCACTCTCAGAGACATACACGCTCAGACGTATGCACATACACGTGAGGCATGCACCAAAGTTACACTGCTGCACAGACAGGCAAACACGCTCAGAAATATACACATGTATGCCCAGAGACTTTCAAAAGATACAATGCACCGCTCCGAGTACACGTATACACACTCAGAAACTCACACACACAGACATGCATTCAGAACATGCATTCATATATAGTGGCATGCACACACAGACACACTCAAATGTACCCCACAACCAACACACACAGAAACACCTGTGTATATACAGACAAGCACAAAAAGTTTACACTGCCATACACACAGGCACACACCCACAGAAGCACATATATACACAGAAACACAACCAAATATATACCCTAACGTTCACAGATGCACATGTGCAGAAATTCACACATATACACAGAGACAGTCACAGAAGTTACACCACAACAACGGGTGCACACATAGACACAGAAAGAGACAACAGAGTACGCAATGCTCCACATGACAGGCACATAGAGATACACACAAAGGTACACTGGACAATATACAGATGCATAATGCCTGTAAGTGCACAACCCAAAATCACACACACACTGCCGCAGCACAGGTGTACACTCACAAATGCCCACATCGACATGTGCAGACAGCACATACAGCTATTAAAACATGCATCCCGGCAGATATGCACAGCTTCTCACACGCAGGTCTGCCTGCACAGACACTTACTGCACCCATGTGCATCTGTGCAGGAACGAACCTGCTTGGTTACAGACACATATAAACACATTTGACTTACATACACATAACTGCTTAACACGCATATATGCACACTGACACCAATTCACACATGTACCCTTTCTCCTGCAGGCATGCACACATACACATGCATAAATCCATAGACATCAGGGCACTAACACTACTCACACGTGTGCACACACACACTCCTAAGGTTCTCATGTAAGTCAGGCTGACGTGAGCCCTTGCACACAGACCTGCATGAGCACGCACATGTATGCACGCATTGGCATGCCTGTTCATTTTTTCAGAATCCCACAAGTCCAGCCCACAGACTAAGCCAGCACGCAGTAGAATTGCTCCTGCCCCAGTCCCAACAGCATGGCTGTTAACTTACTCCATGTCAGCCAGGATGAGGACTCCCTTACCCACCTTTGGTTCCAGCATGAACCCAGTGCAACCCTCTAAGCCTCAGAACTGCTCAGAGAGAAACCAGACTGACCAGTCGGCTGCATTCCCCTATAATGTCAACACCCCCAACACTCACACACAATGCTGTAAGACACTTCTTTCCTCAGTGTGGCTGTTTCTGTTGGGAACGGCAGTCCACAGGCTCTCAACAGACTGGGTGCCTGACACCCAGACACACTGAACTTCTCTGCCCGGGGTCCCTAGACAGCTGCAAAGTGGAAGCCAAGGAGACAGCTTACCTCTACCTCTTGTTGTCATGGAGACACAGAAGCTGGGTGCATCCAACCCTCCAAGACCACCCCAGGCTCCTGATAAGAGCAAGTGAGTTGCTCCCAGCAGTGCTTTTAAGAAGAAGCAGGGAGGGGTGGAGACTGCAGAGTCAGGTGATTGGAGAAAACTGAGGCCCTGACCCGAGTCAAGGATCACTTGGTGCTCAGTGGGATGGGACCAGCCTCACTGGGGGAAACAGACCCAAATGCCAATGCAGGAGACCTGAAAGCAGATAGCCTTGGTGCTGTCAACCTTGAACTCCATGCTTAGTTAAACTTTGCACTAAGTACCCTCCACACACTCTTAGTCGTTCCAACCCCCTCTGAAATAGTAACTATACGCTCTGTTTCACAATGAGAAACCAAGGCTTAGAGAGTGAAGTGACTGATCAAACTCAGATCTGATCTGAGGCCTAAGTCTCTTAAATTCTAAATTACATCACCTCCGGGATCTCGAAAATCTCATTAGTGACAATCACTTATGGCCATAAAGTGTCTGAACTGGGGCCTCTGAGGATACATGAAAGCTCTTCATTTTTAAGAAGCAGCAAACAGAATCCAGAGAGGTCTAGTGATTTGCCCAAAGTCACACAGCAAACAAGGGCAGACTTGAAGCTCAACCTCCTGACCTTCAGATGGAGTTTTTCCCAGATCATCAAGCTGGATCCTGACACCCAGGAAAGCATCACCTAGCCCGGCCTGGAATCCAAGTCCCAAGAAAGGGCAGGAGGTCCTCAGATTCCCATCTCATACCCCAAGAACTGTCTAAAAGCACACAGCAATGCTACTCCCCAGAGGCAGATGTCCTGCTCAAGTAGGCAGCACCATGTCATCTCTGGGGCTGTGACTACTGTGGGGGTGGCTCCAAAATGATCCTCAGAGACCAGGTGACCTCCTTGGAATTTGCTTTTTCACTGTTAACAAAAATAATTTGGCGGAATTCATAAGCTACGCGCAGGGCTCAGAAGAGCCTCCAGGGGCCTGGAATATAAAGCCCCCACCACCACCACCACCAGCCAAGGGCTGAGACCAGAATGCTGGGAGCCCCTATCCACTTGTCCCTTTCAGCCCTTTTCTGGAAAAAGTTTGCTCCTCCCCAGGCTCCAATCAGAATGGTCTAATTGAATAGCCCAGGAAACTTCCCCCAATTTTTTGCTCACCTAAGAAGCAGCCCCTTTGGGGCTGCAAGAAATGGCAGGTGACCTCCACCCCTCCACCTGGCTTTGCCAAGGAAGTGAGTCGGCTCTTAGGAAGATACTTGGGGCTTCTGGAAGGGCTTGGATGCAGGCGATCTCACTGGGAGCTGGACCCCAATCTCTAGTTCTCTCTCCTTACACATACATGCACACCTGAGAATGGGCATAAGCAAGTCTGCAAAGCACCCTACATAAAGCCCATCACCCGGGCAGCCCTGGCTGCTGGCTTCAGATGACAGGCAGCCTCATTCATCAAAGAATCAACCTCCACAAACACCTTGTAAAGCCAACTTGGAAATATGACTAGTTCCTTCTCCCTTGCAACTCTGAACTGGCCACCAAGGAGGGTGATTCATGAACCAAATTAAAGGGCCCACTACTTTTCCTTTGGCCCATCTAAGTCCAAGAAGCCCTCCAGGGCACGCCTTTGGAAAGCACCGAAGAAGGACGCCTGGATAAGCCAGTGTCCGACCATCTGCCAGAGGAGAGAAAGTTTGTCATCTACCCAGTGCCGGGCTGTCACCCCTGTGGGTGGTTCAAGCACCTGGCTCTGGGCGTTGGGTCTCCAGCCTGCGGGGGATGGGGCTGGGACTGGAAGCCCAGACCTGGAGGCAGCGGAGGCTTCGCAGCAGCCTCTTTCTCTCATGGAACCCTCTTAGCAGGTCGTGGCCCCTGAGTCCTTACCTGAGGGGTCTCGGTCACTTGTAAACTCTGCCTGCGGAGCTCAGCAGGCGCCTGGGGGCCCTCGCTGAGACTCCGGCGTCCCGCTGGGCGAGCCCGTTCTGTGGGCGCCTTCCCCGCTGCCAGCTGCGGCAGTGGCTTCATGGAAAGCGGAGCCTGGATTTCCTTTCTCTCTACCAAGGCTCCTCCGGCCGGGCCCGGGGGCTATTTCTCCAGGTCTGGTGCAAGGGGTATCTTCCGCGCCTCCAGTGGGAAAGTGGGAGAGTGTGAGTCTTGGATTGCAGCAGCGGCGACAGCGGTGGCCGGGGACGAGGAAGCGGTGGCGACGCCAGCCGGCGAGCCGGGGAGGCGGGCGGAGGCGAGAGGAAGTAAAAGCCGGGCTCCTGCGAGAGCCTGGCGCTCGGGCGGCTAACGGGCGGGCGGGCGGCACTGCGGGAGCCCCGAGCCGCGGCGAGGCCCCGCGCGGACACCCACCAAGGGATGCCCGGGCCCGGGGCGCTGAAGGCGCCGGCGGCGGCTGCTCGCGGGGCTCTGGACGCCTAGCCGGTCGCCCTCTGCCGAGCTGCTACCTCGCTGGTTGCCTCGATGGTTCCCCGGGACTTGACGTCTTCAGCCTGAGCTCCCCGCACCGCCGCCGCCGCCGCCACTGCCACCGCCAGCAGCGCGCCTCAGCCCGGCGCTGCTCCTCGCACGGAGCCACAGCACTGCCTACCGCTTAACTCCTTGCATACCACCTGCCCTCCCGCAGCCTTCCGGGGCGCTCGCAGAGCCGGTGCCAGGCCGGCAGAGGAGACCCAGCAGGGCCTCTGCAGCATAGCCTCCGTTGCCTGGTCTGTAAAATGGGTGCAAGACCCAAGTCATGTAAAGTTGCTGGAAGAATTAACTGAGCCCTTTACACAAAGTGCCAGGCTGCCTGGCATTGCATATGCACCCAGCGATTGCTGCTGCTGCAGCTGCTGTTGTTCCTCCTAAATTGTAAAAACCCAGGAAATGGCAGTTTCGTCTTTTGTGTTCAGTTGTGTCGTTCTAACAGGTGGTATAATAGGCTTTAGCTGTGTGACCTCTGGGTGATCACTTCCCCTCTCTGAGCCTGTTGTTTTCCATACTCTGTGACCTTGGCAAGTCACAGCACTCCTCTGAACCGCTGAATCTTATCTATAAAGTGCCATGCCCTCTCATGGCACCTGACAAGAACTGGACATCTTTTCTTTCCTGATCTGGTTGGTAATTACACCAGTGTTTCTGTTTCTTTCTTTCTTTCTTTTTTTAAGAGACAGAGTCTCATTTTGTCACCCTTGGTAGAGTGCTGTGCGTCACAACTCATAGCAACCTCCAGCTCCTGGGCTTAGGAGATCCTCTTGCCTCAGCCTCCTGAATAGCGAGGACTATGGGTGCCTGGCACAGTGCCCCGCTATTTGTTGCAGTTTGGCAGGAGCCAGATTCGAACCTGCCACCCTGGGTATATGGAGCAGTCCTTACCCACTGAGACACAGGGGCTGCCTATACACAGGTGTTTCTGGTAAGTCAATGACCTGTATATTTACATGTCAAGCACTTTCCTGCACATGCATTAAATCTTCTGAAAAATCTGGTTTTTTGAGTGACAATTCTTTGAGTGAGAAAAGCGTGGGCTCAGCTACTTTCTGGCTGTGTGATCATGATGAAGTTGTTTTCTGTCAATGAGCCTCTGTTTCTTCATTCATCAAATGGGAACAATGATAGTACCTACTTGATGGGTGATATGATGATTCAGGGGTTTCAAGTACAAAACTTAAGGCCTGAATTCAATCAATATCAGATGGTGTTGATCATATGTTCTGCAGTCTCATATATGTCCCATTGGAAAAGGATGTCTGAGAAATAACTGAGAGAACTGAGTCTGAACCTCAGCAAGAGTTGGCAGGTAAAATACAATGAGCTCAGGTAAACTTTTAGTGTAAGTCTGAAATTGTACATGAAACATACTTATACTGTTTTTCCCCACTTTTTTAAACCTGGGATTCAAATACAATCAGGTGTCCTGTATTTTTATTTGCTAAATCTTACGATCCTAATCCCATGGTTATTAGCTGTATACCCAGAGGTAAATTGACAAAACTCTCTGGCCTCAGTTGCCTCATCTGTAAAATGGGAATAAAGGTCTCTTGCAGTGTTGACAGAAGGAACCTGATGAGAGTAGGTGGGTGTTCCCAGCACAGATTAAGCACTCCATCTTTGTCTCTTGTACCTTCTGTCACCTCCTTCCTTCCTTTTCTGTTTTTCCTCTTTATCCTTGCCTAAGGTTTGAGGTTGCCAGACCTCCTGTAAAGATTTGTTAGCCCTTTGCTGGCCGTCAAAAGTAGAAGATTAGGATTAGCTATAAAATGTAAGTAGGGCGGTGCCCATAGCTCAGTGAGTAGGACACTGGCCACATACACTGAGGCACCAGCCTGCTAAACAACAATGGCAACTGCAACTATAAAAATACCCCGGCACTGTGGCGGGTGCCTGTAGTTCCCCCTGCTTGGGAGGCTGAGGCAAGAGAATCACTTCAACCCAAGAGTTTGAGGTTGTTGTGAGCTGTGACACCACGACACTCTACCCAGGAGGACAGCTTAAGACTCTGTCTCCCAAAAAAAAAAAAAACAAAGGTAAGTAGTTGAGTTATAGAATTTCTATCTGAAACACAATATTAATTTTGGTAAGAAGGAATGAAGTCTATTTCTTTCAGATCCAAACACTGAGCAAACTCTATTTTTCTGTTGGCTTGTACCTGCCATCATTTGTGTTAGCAGCTTCTGTGAGGAGCCTCATCCTCTTGCCATGTCTTCCATTTTAGCTCAGAATTTTATTTTTCCCAGCTAAGGTCTGTTGTAGGACTCATGGAGGAGAGAGCAGAAACAAAGCGATCTTTGAAATAAATGATAAAGATCAAAATAGGGTGATATAAGAGAGTTTCCAAGCAGAAGCTCAGGTAACACCTTGGAACTACGTTCATAAAACGAGTCACTAACCCATACATCACTGTCATTTGAACCACAGGGTCTAAAAATAGGATTTGCTCTAATTTCCTTAGTAGCTGAAGCAAATGGAGAGAATGCGTGAGTAGTGAGAAGGCTGTGTCAGGAGGCAAGTAACTTCCTTTTGGCAGTATTGTTCTAAAGTGGAAAGAAGGGGACTTGTCTTCAGAAATGTCAGCCATAGGCTCAGCGCCCATAGCTCAGTGGTTAGGGTGCTGGCCACATATACCCAGGCTGGTGGGTTCGAACCTGGCCCAAGCCTGCTAAACAATAATGACAACTGCAACAAAAAAATAGTTGGGCATTGTGGCAGGCACCTATAGTCCCAGCTACTGGGAAGCTGAGATAAGAGAATCACTTAAGCCCAGGAGTTTGAGGTTGCCATGACCTGTGACACCACAGTACTCTACCAAGGTGGACAAAGTAAGATGCTGTCTCAAAAAACAAAACAAAACAAAACAAAAAAAAGGCTGGGCTTTGTGGAGGGTGCCTATAGTCCTAGCTACTTGGGAGGCTGACGCAAGAAAATCACTTAAGCCCAAGAGTTTGAGGTTGCTGTGAGCTGCGATGCCATGGCACCCATAGTGAGACTCTGTCTCAAAAAAGAAAAGAAGAGAAATGCCAGGCATGTCCTGGTAGAGCTCAGAGAGAGTTAAGGTGGAGGACTTTGGAGTCACCCAGACCTGGGATGGAACCCCAACTCTGCCGCCTCCTAGCTGGGTAGCCTTAGGTCAATCCATTAACCTTTCTGAGCCTTATCATTTTTTTTTAAAAAATGAAGACGATAGTAGTTTCATCCTTAGGAGGATTTTGTGCAGATTACATGATAGGCACACACAGACTGTTTACCACAGTGCCAACTGTACATGCATTATGCACGTGGGCCGTGACCTATTATTATGATTCCAGATGGGCAGGATGCACTCAAGGCAAAGTGAGAGTGCCAGTAATTCAGGGCACCAGAGAGAATCCCAACCCTGGAATTCAAGCATGTGTAGGCTTCCCAGAGTTGGATTTTCCCCCCCTTTGGCACTTAACAACTAACTCACACATCAGGGTTAACATGTCAAAGAGAGAATAAGGTTGAGGAGAGGGAATTGCAATGGGTTGCTGTGACTTTGTTAGAGGGGAGGAGGACTTTTCATTTTAGGAGTCTGGGCACATGCCCAAGGTGGGATGGTCCCTCCTTTCCACAGTCCTGTGTGTCTTCTTCACCCATGGAATCTCTCTGAGCTCCCCAGCCCCTTCATTCAGAGATCCCAGAATCCATCCTGTCTGACAGAGGATGATGCTTGGGCTGGAAGCAAACTCCTAGAGATCAAGAGCAGTGTCTTGTAACCACTTCTCTGACCCAAGCACCTACATCAGGGCCTGGCACATAGTCGGTGCTCAGGAAAAAAATTGATGAATGAATAAAACTTCAACATATTATCACAGATATATACAGATCAAAAGAAAACCTGGTGCTTTGGTCTGTTCGGGTTATTATAGCAAAATATAGTGAATTAAGTGCCTATAGATGGTAAGAAGGAATGAAGTTTATTTCTTCTAGACCTAGCCATTGACCAAACTCTAGTTTTTGCCGAGGGCTTTTTCTCCCCCCTGCATTTATCCCTGACATCACTTGGGTTTCTAGTTTCTGAAAGAAGCCTCATCCTCTCTACATGCCTTCTTTTTTAGCTCAGAATTACATTTTTTTCCTGGCTAAAATCTGTTGTAGGACTCATGGAGGAGGGAGAAGAAACAAAGTGATCTTTGAAATAAATTATAAAGATCAAAACAGGATGATGTAAGAGAGCTTCTGAGCACAAGACTAGAACTTTGATTTCTCACAATTCTGGAGGCTGGGAATTTCAAGATCAAGGCAATGACAGATTCAGTGTCTGGTGAGGGCCTTCTGGTTCCTCATGGCACCACCTCACTGTGCCCTCACACAGTGGAAGGGGCTATTTGGAGTCTCTTTTATAAGGGAACTAACCTTAACCATGAAGGCTCCACCCTCATAACCTAATCACCTTCCAAAGGCCCTATCTTCGAACACCATTGCTTTGGGGGTTAGGGTTCAACATATGCATTTTCAGAGGACACACATATTCAGACCGTAGGAAGCATCTGGTATGATCAGAGAGTTCAGCCATCAAAATTTTAGTGCACAAATGTAGGAGAATGTATATTGTAGCACTTTTTCATGATGAAAACCTGCAAAGAATCTGAATGCCCATCAACAAAAGAATAGATGGATTGATTCCA